TTAGATGCTGTAGACTTTCATGGTGGAATTCCACTGGCTTTTCTTGGGCGCTATTACTTGCATTGCGTGCTACAAAGGTTCAAAATTAAACAAGAATCAAATTAAATAGCCCATTAAGGTAAAGTAAGGAAATAGCTTATGTCCCCAGACATACATTCATTCGTTATTTTTTATTTTTGAAAAATTCATATACACCTACTTGCGAAAACGTTATCATAGAAAATAGGACATTTGTATTTAGTAAAAAGGAATAAATTAAAAAGACAAAAGAAGATCACCGAGGCTGAACGCTTTCTTTTGTCTTTTTGTCAATTTATTCCTTTTTACTAAATTCAAATGTTCTATTTTCCTTGACAACGTTTCTGAAAGCAGGTGTATGTTTTTATTGGAACCTACTGGGATTTATACATTTTAGGTCAAGCACATTTTTTTATATAATTCGCAGGGGCTATGGTGTTAGGTTGGGGGAAAATGAGCGTCGTCCATTTTGGTTTCTTGTAGAAGTGCTGTAGCCTTAAAGCAGCGAGCAAGGTCTGCATATTATTGGTATTCAGAAATATGTAATAAAGATGCGAATATTCTTCATTAAACGGAAAAGAAAAGAAAGTGAAAAGGAGGGTCTGGGTAAGATAATGTAGTGTTGTAGCCTTTTTGATAGTACAAGATCATCGGCATAGTATCGAGTTGTATTCCGAAATATGTAAGAGAGATATAATGGATAAATGGATAAAATACCTTTTGCGTATCGYTCAATTTTGTCTCTGATTTCAGGCGGAAGACTTTTTATACGTGACTTTCGCAGAATGTTGAAATTGCAAACWGTTACACTTGGAAATGCGAAAACCTAGAGAAGGCAGTAAGCCATAATGAGTCATTTGCAGTAAGGTTAAGCAGACCTCGAATACAGTTTTCTTTGTAAAGAAATTGATTAAAGCTTTTAGCTATTAGAAGAGCGCGAATAACGTGAATGATATGAACTTAATTAATGTAATTTTCGTGTGAACTTGAAATTTGTGATGATTTGGATAACTGTGGTTGGTTGTACGGAAGGTTGATAAAGTTATCAACCGGTAAAGGGATTGTGTACGAGATTTTATTTGCTGAATAAGGTTTATCCGGTGGAGATGTGCTATTTACCCTTCATACAACGGCTTCCTGGCCTATTTGAGATGGGCATTAGGAGAAATGGGTTGAGTTATACAAATATTGACGTTTTACTTCTTTTCGGCACTATACATTTATACTACTTGTAGCCACAAATCCTTATCCAATTGTAAGATATATGCGATTGTTGTCATTCCCATATTTCTGGTAAAAAATGAAAATGTACTAAATAGAATATTGGATGAAATAGAACGTGTTGAATAAAATATTGGGATTTTGTATTCATTTAAAATCTCTGCTATTGGACCGCGGGCATTCTTTTCAAAATAAACAGTCTTCTTGAAAGTAATTTCTTTGTGATTAAATTTTGTGCTGGACGTATTATTTTCTAAAGTGTTGAAATTATTAGGGATATATTTGGATTGCAGCCAAGGCCGTTCGAGTGCCAAAAATGCATGCTGTTTGAGCCCTATAAGGCACAACCTGACGAATCTTCTATGAACCATTACTAAGGCCACACAAACAATAACCCGCCTTTTCGCGGTTAAGAAACAAGTTGCACGAAGAGCCTGTGGTATTGCACCTAACTTTAGCGTGAAAAAAATCGGGCAATAAACCAAAACGCTGTCAGTTTTTAACTTTATCCTTTTGCAATGTTAGAAAAAATGATTTTTTTGGGAATAAATTCTTGATCATGTGAGGCCTGCAGCAAACATTCTTTCGTATGTCGGTCCTATATGGAATCTCTGTGAGCTTTAGAAATGTCTTTCAACAAATCTATGCAAGAGTAGACAAGAAATCAAACACGATGTCCTATATAGTTCGCTGGAATATATATATCTGTAAGTTTTAGACAACTTTTAAGCTTTAAAAGCTTGAAAGACCAAGGAAATTACCAAAACCAATTCTGACAATGGTTATATTATAAGCCCTTTTTGACCTTGAAAACGTTATAAAAGCCTTTTTGACCTTAAATATGTTTGCCAGGAACAAAATTATTTTAAAGAAGGAAGGGCCTACACATTTGCATGTGAGATTGTCAACAAAGTTTCTCAAAATCATCCCTTTTCCAGGAAAAATTCGTACAAGAACAGTTATTTAGAAGAACAGACCCCGTCGACTCTTCCTATGTGTGTACACTTACACTATCAAAATTTCAAGCTGCCTCAAAGTCAAAATTTACGATGACAAACATAGTCTAATTTTACTCAATAGCTCTTTATATGCTTCAATTACTATCAGAGTTAATTTTTACTATATATATCATACCACGCCATTTTCCAGGGACATATGCGTGGATATCGGTCGACTTTTATATGTGTAGAACAGACCAATAAGTTGATGGATTCCTGCACCGAAAGCTGTAATAAAAGCCAGCAACCAGATGATTTTGAGGGCAGCGTGTTTGGATTCAGCAACTCGACCTAGCCCTCCCCATGATGTATAGCTGCAAAAGTTTAATAAAATGGATTTGGTCGTGTCACTCTTGGCGTTTATCTGGCTTTGCGCTTCTCTTCGTTTTCTATGTCTTCGTAATTGACTGTTAAAGATGGACTTTGTCGCCATATTCGCACTTTGCACGAAGATTAAACTTCTCTCTGAGCAGAAAGTAGATTATTATAAGTAGAATAATAAATTGTGGAATAAAATTATTTTGTAAATTGATGGAATGATNGAGTGAATGTATAACTAAATGAAAAAATTGATTTATGTGATGAACTAAAAATGGAAAGAATACTTGACGTACAAAATCTTTCCTGTATTATCCACACCGTAAATGATGTGCTGGCACATTAAACGCGTGGTATTTAGTGAATAGATGTACAGAATTATCTCATCAAAAAGCGTTCATTACATCACAGTGTTATCATATGGAAAGATTAAATATTTATCATGYAAAGGCGCAAGTTTYAKAAATAAAGACKTTTTTGACAAATRCATTCAATATTATAATGAAATTCTTAATTATTGTCCTGKTGGCATTGGACACGCTAAGCTCACATCTTWTAAGTTTTATCCGATCAAAATTCAACTGCAATATTGTTGTGGCTTGTTTTTCTTTGTTTTTGTTTTGTTTTCTTYTGTTAGACTTAATTTCTTCCGTATCCTAAATGCGAACTAGTATGCGATGCTTTCGCACACGGAGGGGGAACGACTAACAAACTCTCCAAGCTAAGTCATATAATATGCAGGTAGAAAAACATGGAAAAAGACGGGAAGAAAAGCAAAAAATACAGTAATAAATGTTAAGTGATTATCTCTTTCAGATTCATTTGTTATAAGGTCACTTGAGTTAATTCAAGCAATTTTTAATCCTTTCAAGACATTTTTTGTGTTGAGGTGTTTTTAAGAACTCTATAAGTATGTTGCCATTAGTAGCACGTTTTTTTGTGTAGAAGAAACGTATTCTGTTATTGATGGCGCATCAATATTTATCATATAATTATCTATGAAATACCTATATTTCTCCACTTCGTAAAGTTGATATTTTCACTAGTGAAAATAACAATTCGAGGTTTATCTAAATAGTGGAAGTAAGAAAAAAAGTATTTTGCGAAATATTTTGCTTTCATATGTAATTATTATATGATAAACAGAATATTACAAGGTCGCTTGGAGATACGAATTATATCTTCTCACTCGTGAGAGATCTTTTCAACACTCAAAGATAAAATACGCATCTCCGCTCGCCCATGTAATATCCTCTATTTATTTTATAAGCATGATCTACTCTTCATTTATGATGTGAAGTTTACTATTGGCTTANTGTTAAGGAAGTTTCTTAAGATATCATTTCTCTGATCAATTTACAGGGGTTAAATCATCTGATTCTTGCATAATTTTTGAATTGCTTCAATTTTTAATTGAACTTTGAGCTGAAAGAGGGGGGGTGAATAGGTTTTCGGATCGGCGGATCTGGGCCTAAAATGACAGGCGGATTACGAATTTAAAGAAAAAATACAGTGGATTGCCGGATTCTTAAAACGTACCGGATCACGGATTTACTGAAAATTTAACGTCGGATTTCGGATTCTATAATGGCGATAATCGTGACTGCGAATTTTGCCGATTGTTGACAACAACAAAAATAACATAAGAAGTCACTAAGAAGGCCTTATAAACGGGAGAAACGAGACTACAGGGTCTGCGCTGTGTGGAAACGTCTTCTCTGAGCTTATTATGGCAAATATGGCATCTTGAATTAGCAAGAATTTATGATTTTCTTATTATCGATTGCTATCTGACTTGGCATTTGGATTAAAGCAAAACTTTTGCGCGGATCGGCGGATTTTAGAAAAAAATGAGCGGATCGGCGGATTCGGAGACCCCTATTCATTCCCCCTCCCCCCACTAAAACCTTTTTTGGACGATGTCTTCTATAGAAAAGTAGCATGTTATCAATATGTAATGGATCATTTGCACATWTGTAATTGCACATGCTAGAAATGATAACAATCCTTGAAAGTAATTAAGGAAGGGCTTGCTGCACTCAAACAATCAGTTTCATTTCATATTAACAAATCGCCTTCGGCAACTTAAGCACAGAAAGAATGGAAAAACCAAGTATCCCATTCAATCTTATGATGTGTCAAGATGAATAAACTAACAAAAACATTGAAACAGAAATATACACATAGCGATATCCAATATCATGAAGGTATATAGAAACAGCAGATTTCCCTGGAGATTCTGAAAAATTTCGCTTGAGAACAAAAAAATTCGATTTCCAATTTATGTTAAAAGTATGGAAAAAACTTTTTGATTAAACTGCTTTTATAGATTCAKTACAAATTTCCATGTTTTTGACGAAATATTCAAATATTTGAATGCTTTAGTATTTTTGAAATGGATATCATTTCTTACATGACACACTTTTCTAGTGTTCATATCACCACGAGTATTTCCAAGCCTTTGAAAATGCATTCTTGAAATTGGAAACCATYAAATTTACAAATGCCAATCATGTCATAATACAATTTTTGTACGTACTGCCACGACTACGAAGAATAGTCTAGACTAGTCTCGTTTAATAAAAAAAACTCTTCAGTTCACTATGCTTTACAACAGTTTCAGAAAAATTTGTTTAAATTTGTGAAATTGGAAACATTTTTTTAGAATGAAAATCGTTCAGTAAGATTCTTCAAGCGAAGGGCTTGTCATTAACTAAAAAGGACCGCGCAACATGAAAACAATATTCTCCATCTATATAATTTTTCTTGATGGATCTTTTAGAAACTTTTCATGATACATAGTAAACTACTAATTGTAAAGTTCCTTGTCTGATACTTACCTTTAAAAGTTTTATTTGTTCCACACGAAGTACMATATCGAAATCAGGAGACAGATATAGTTATAATTTCTTTGAACTTTATTGTGGAATATGACTTGATTTCTATGGAGATAACCTAAACATCTGTCAAAGAACCTAATGCGCTGTAGGACTGCCAGGGTATTACATGAAACAAAGCCAGAAGTCTTYTTGCCGAGACACCATAAATACACCAGTCAGAGAATGCATAATTATTCAAACTAATTTTCGTAAACTGACCTTGCCAAAGACAGACCTCTGAAGGAAACGACCAGCAAATTCAGTTCTTGATCATGATAATTTTATCTTAATATGTTGTGATCGAAAATCGTTGATGCAAAATAAAAAGTAAAACGAACGCGTTTTTTTACGTAGCTTTAATATATATGCATGACTGGGAGCTTGGTTTGATGTTCTGAATTCAAAGAATCTATTTCGATTCTAAGGTCGAATCTATTTCGAGTCTTCCGTGCTAGAATGACGACATTTTGTAGGCTCCCTTTAGAGTGATTATGAAGACTTTTGTTATAAATCTCGACGTGCTTCCAATATATTTTTAAACCATTTACAGACAGATGATGGCTTAAATTACGCCTGAACACGTCTTGGCTAGATTGATTAATTGTCAGTTGAAGGAGCCATTATTAAGAAATCACGTTGGCTGAAATGGCGATAAACACTAAGTGTAAATAAATTCACAATATTTTCCACGTAAAATACGACGTTTTCCTCATACAGTAATTTCAAGATTCCTTACTAAATAATTTGCTGCAATCCTTTATATTTGGGATTTGATTTGAATTTGAATTAGGTTGTTTTCCAGCGAAGTGTGCGAGTTCAAATGAAGAGCTAAAGATAGGTTGTCATCAAAATAAATCTGTTATTATCACCATTGTCGGAAAATGGAAAAACATGTTTCTCTTAAATTAAAGAGTTTTTCTCATCAGGCATACGTAGATTATAAAATAAGAACATCTGCAATTTTTTCTAATGAATAATTTCATTCTTACTCGCATTCAGAGTAATAAAACTGGATGTATCTGAATRAATGTAAAAATACTACTTTCAGCACTTTTTTAAAGCAAATTGAGCAATTTAGTTTATTTAGTGAACCAAACACAAACAGACGTGAAGTAAACGACGACAGGTATTTCGCACCATTTGACTCGTTTGGGCTGAAAAATATTAGAGAGAGTACATCACAAAAGAGGTCTTGGCTTTGGCGGAAATATCCAGACGTCCAAAAGACGCAATTTATTCACTCGGAGCGTCAAACGTTTCTTAATCCTTTTGTGCTGTCTATCCTTATCATTGTCCCGCCTGCAAGGAAGGTCACCAACAAGAGAAAAGTCACCAATCAATGGCAGCTTTTTTGATCAGTATTTTCGGCTTTTATTACCAAGGAAAAAGGAAACTGCGCGACTTGTGTTCTGGTCTATTGTCCAGCTGCATGACGGCCTAGGTGCACAAATTTTCACCAAATTAAAAAGTTCATTTCTAAACAAAAAAATTAGAATATAAATTAAAGCCTAAAAAACCTATATGTCGGTATTGAAAATGACCTTATAATTTTGACAAGATTTCAACGACCATAATAGGAGTCCTGGAGCTTACCTCTCTACTCAACAGCCTGGTAAGCCTGTGACTTAAAAATCCGAATGTAAAATCGTGTTCAAATCCTCGACTGAATGATGCATTTCAATTCAAAAGGTCAATTGGAGGCTTGTGATACTACGTAAGAACTACTTGTACATCATTTGACTAAATCCTATAGTTTTATATCAACTCTTAAGAAAAAARCAAATTAAGGAAGCTAATCAGGAAATACCTGACCGTTTATTGTACTTGTCAGTCATATTTGTCAACTTCGATCAAGTGCATTGACGTAACACTAAAGCAGCAGCCAACCGAACTCTTAATCGCATCTTTTCTGTGCATCATCATATTGTATTTCTTACAGATATGGCGAAAAMCTATACAGCGTCGAATATTACTTCTCGCATGACTAGTATTTGCGGATATTATTTACATCACTGGAGGATCGATGCATCAAATACGAAGACATTCCTGAACGCAATTTTTGCGTCATCTCACAGAGAGAAGTTAATTAATCCTCAGCGATTGTTTACTTCTTAGTATTGTCTTACCTCACTAAACACGTTTTGACCAGACGAAGACATTTTAATATGCGCGACATGAAAAAGAGAACTTTTAATTTTTCATCTAAAAAAGTGTTTCTCTAGAACGCCACAGACGAAATTATGGAAGCAAATGTAAAGTACTTTGCTGAATCTACACCAAAGGTTGTTCTTCAAAGTTTATTCGCTAAGTATGACTTTAATAACAATGGTTTTCTAGAACAAGATGAGYTAAGAGATCTTCTTGAACAGGACCTTGGCATGAATTCTGATCAGTCCGAGGTACTACTACTTTTAATTGACAAGAAAGGAGATCATAAGGTCAGTTTGAAACCCACACATCGAAACAAAATGCACTCACCCAGTTAAAAAGCCCATAGTCCACCAGCATCAATGCAGCCGTGTTTAGATTTTTCAAACTTGGAAAATGAGGTGACTTCACTGAAAATATCCAAGCTTCCGTTGCTTTTCAAGTTCGAATTCATATATCATAAATGTATAAAAGAGTGCGTTTTTGCTTAGAATATTTTTTATTTTTCAAACATAAACAAGTAGCCGAAAGGGATGATGGTTGAACGTGGCTAAAATAAGAATGTGGTTGTATCGAATAATGCACTTATTCAGCAGGCCCGTATGCTGCTTTTTACAAATGGGGGGGGGGGGGGGAGTTTTTTTTCATATTGCGGGCCAAAATTAAATGCTTAAGTAAATTAGTTCAATGCAGAGTATAGTGAGTAAGAACTGGCTGCTAGTTTGAGCAATTCATACAAATTTTAAAAACAGTCATAATTTTAATCTCAACAACAGTTAAAAGTTAAATAACA